AGTTTATTAAATTTTATCGGACAATTTTAACTACCATATTAAAGAGCACATTAAATACTATAATGATACTCCGCCACAGCCTTCTGGAGGAGCGCCATCGAGAGATTCGGCCGCGCGAAAAAGAGTGGGTACCGGAGTTGAGCGAGATCGTTGATTTCTCCGCCACTGTAGACCACCCTGTTGAGCTCCGCCCGAACTAGGTAATTGAGTGGGTTCAGGTCAGGGGACATATTCCAATATTACATCTTCATCGCAGTACGAAACGCACTTCCATTCGGATAAAGTAGGGCGGGAGTTTTTCCAAAACCCTTCGATTCCATGTGGTGGCACCCAAACCTGTAGCAGCACAAGGTCTCCAAGAAGGTACGGGCGACCACATGTAGGGAGGATATCCTTCTCGAGTTACTTGATGTAACCGCCAGCGCTCACCTTCAGTCGGGGTCTACAAAGAAAATATCGGTCTTCCCATTCCAGGTACGGCCGGTCCACACCATCACAAGCGGCCCTTGTGAATGGGTGAAGATGATGTCCTGGAACCGTAGGGCGACGGTTTGCCGGAGTCTGCTCGTGTTTGAAGTGTTGCATGATCAAGAGTATGGTCTCCAGGTAGCTATCCATGGGTGATTCCATTCAAGAAGTTCCGCAGCTGTTTGGAGGCCACGTGAATTCCAAAGGCGTTCTCCACTCAGGCCGCGACTGGAGATGACTTCATATTTTGGTGTACATGAAGGTGAATGGCGGCAGCCGGCTCCTGCTTATAGAGGAAGATCTTGGGTATCTTCCGCCCTGTACTCATATCCACTTCCTCTGTCTGGGCTGCGAAAACTTTCGCTCATATGTGACTCGGCCGGAATGACTTTTTTTTTTGGCCCCCCCTGTAAAGGTGCTTGCCAGCGTGCAAGCGAGCGCTCTTTTGTCCGCAAGACGAATCTGGTACCGATTTACCGTCGCCGCGGAGCGTAAAAGACTTGGTTAGCCTAAGGCGACCGGGATTGAAACCCGGTACTGCTCAAAAGGTAAACACGCCACTTTCCACACCAAAACACCTCCGCCTTCGCTGTACTAAGTAATAATGTCTGTGGTAATGTAACAATCCAAAGCGCACCTTATGATGTTAACAACGAAAAAAGTAAAAGCTGTGTTAATCAGAAGTGTGGAAGTTCCGAATGCTTTATTCCGACTGTATAACACAGATAGATATCGCAAGCAGAATGTTAGCTTGTAAGTCGTGCAGAAACCACCTCGTAGATGTCTCATTGTTTCGAACCTGTAAGTGAGTCTTTTCAGAAGATGATTTGGAGGTTAAAGATACGGCTATGTGGACAATGTGCCAGCCAGGCTTCAATAGGAATGTCGCCAGAAAATGTGGCTGCATCACAAGGGTTAAATAATTGCAATTTGTTGTTGGTAGTGGGCCGAAATAGGAGCTCATTGGGAGGCTTTCTCAAGACTAACACAACTACTTCTCCACTCACTTCTGCTCCGAAAGTGGTCAATTCTCTGAGATTACGTGGCACTACGATGGGATCGTGGTTATCAGGTGATCGTGGGTTGAGATACAACCGGCACAATAAAGGAAGGGCTGGCTAGCCAACAGCGATAGCCAACCGTTGAGCGTAGGAATTGAAACATTTTGCTCCTAATCACATTGAAGCTACCCCTAGGGTAGAGGAGCTGTGTATAATCTTACAATCTTCTCTTGCTACCTTTGACAGTGGTTCCTTTCTTCTTCAGCTTTCCACTGCGAACTGTCATACGATTCTTCTTGACCAAGGAGCGTCTGATCCACGATCTACGAAGATGTCTGTGGGCCCTCCTGCCATAATAACGCCTATAGTAGTCTCTGTGATAATGACGGCGAAGATAATAACGATAATTGCGTGGCCATGTCGGATACATTCTCAGTGCCTTGATCATGGCGTAGTACGCCTGCAACGGACAAGGCTACCGCGTTGGAAAATATACAATAATTTCCTGAAAAACACTGCAGAAAGTTGAAAAAAAGAGTGTTTTCGAACCACTGGATTCTTCTGTCTGATCTTTCCTGCTTCCTTCCTGATCTCCGCCAGGGTTTTCTTTTCGCTTTCTATGTTTTTCACGTACTCTTGAAAAGTGGACGGTATAGATTTGAACACTGCTGTGATCTTTTGCTTGAGCGCTTCCATTTTTTTGTCTTCTTCAGCCTTGAACTTCTTCACTTGCTCCTGAAACTCCGAAACTGCTCTGAAATCCACATTATCTTGCCTAGTTTTGCGAAGCGTACGCACCGTACGATTGTACTTTTTCGCCCACGCTGCGATTTTCTCCTGTTCTTGAGCGTACGTAAGATTCTCGCCACGAATAATTGCATTATATTGAATTCGACCTTCCTTGCTAACACCTCTCAAAAATTTCAGGAACAAGGGATATTGATGGAAAATATATCTTGAGCCTTTGGTGATGCCAACATCAACAGCAGCCGCAGCTACGAGAAGCAGGATGAGAATGGTTCTCATTCTGTAAATTTCTTGGATTTAGTTAGGAGTTTTTATATGCAAGGGTCTTCAGAAGTGGGTGAAGAATGAGAAACTGATCATCCGGAAAGTAGTGGCTATTAGCGATGAAAAACAGCTATGTGACGAATCTGTGGGCAGGGACCCCTTATATGGCGCTTTTCGAGATAAAAAAACGGAATATTTAATTGCATGTTAATCGTCTCAGTAGCAAGCAGTCAGCTTGCTGGATTGTGGTGAATTAAATCTGAATACTGATATTTCAAGCAGTTCCTCCCATTTGTTGAGAGCTCTGGTGAAAAAAAGGACGCATTCTATTGTTTATTGAATTGTATTGTTTATTGAAGGTTTGTGCTTGGAAATTTTCAGGTTAAAGAAATGTAGCGGGCTAGTGGGATGATAGGGTATGTTGCACGCTGTAGATTTCCCAGCTAGGATAGCATATGGTCGATGGAAGGTGTCCATTAGCCACTAAAATGTTATGAACAACAAGTTGGGAAGAGGCTTGTTTGTTTTTATTCTCCATGTTTGGCGTGGAAATGGCGGCCTCTGCAGGATACTGCAGATCAGCCGAGTTGTTCTTGAGTTCTGACCCTCGTCATCATCTCTGTTCTTATTTTGCAGCACCTCCAATGTTATCCGCATCAGGAAATTGCGTTTTACTCGTATTTTAAAGCGCAATTAAAGGACTTGGCAAAGTGCCAAGGAGCCGCACGCGACACGCGCGCTTACGACGGATGTTATGAAGGACGGGAATCTGCGCCGCAAAAAGGTGTAAGGCGGAGCATGGAGGAATTAGCGTGTTTCACGGTCCTGTATCTCCATTCCTGGGCATGTTTGGGCGGGGGGACCACGACACATCGACAGCTGGGGGGCTGATAGTCTCATACACCCTCAATGTGTGTGAGCGTACTATGTGTCTTTAAGCCAAATTTATCCCCTAGGTCGAGTGAGTTTGTACTGCCCTCAGGCTCGCTCTGATCACGTTGCACCCGCTGAATCGCTTCCGCTGACCTTCGCTCTTCGTCGAGTTCAAGTAGCTATTCATAATTGTTAGCAACCCATGAACAAACTGGACTGCGACTGAACTTCCGTGCCCTTATGCAAACATTCTTCGCGTGGGGGAAGTTGACTTGTGATCTTTCAACAAACAACACTTGCGCACCTGATTCCCACCATGTTCGTCGCTACAGTAATCGCTCTTGTTCTCGCCCACATTCAATTACTCAGCAGCTGTGAAATTCTCAGTAAGTAAAAGTACAAAGCGCTGTTCCAGAAAAGGCAAAGGGGGAGACTGTCAGAAAATTAGTTCGCTGCAGGTCGGAGATCGAGTCCCCAATGGTGTTGCACAGCTCCAGTCCTCCCAGTCATATAGAATGCATCACTTAACGTTAGACTTATGTGATAGAACAAACAGAGGCCTGGTGGAGCTCGTAGAAGTTTGGCCAGTATCACAACTATAAGAGCAAGCCTGTCTCTCTTCACTATCCTCTCGCAATGTTAACCGAGTTATTAACCCCTCTGAGGGCGTTTTCGGTGTGTCTTGATCTCGCTATACATAGCTCGGTAAGCGCCGGAGTGCAATGGCATCAACGCACTATTCAAGGTCTCCACAATTCTAGGTGAAAGTTGGATGCGCTGCGCACACTAGTTCTACCGCTAGACTGGAATGGTAAAAAAAGGTAAAAAGAGATAAATTCAGAAGTTTTTCGAGGATCCTAAATCTTATCTTTTTCTGAGAAGAGGAACGAGCACAGTACTCTAGGCTGCGTTCATAATTTGCGGCGTCCACCAGCGTTCCGACTGTCCGGCTCCGTCAGCGACTAGGAAAGTATAGATATCGATCTGCCAGCGCCCACTAGCGACCTGCAGCGTCTCGAGGGCTAGGGAAGTAAAGGGATCGATATTAGCGTCTGTCAGGGTCTGCCAGCGTCCACTAGCGACCAGCAGCAGAACCTGGTAGAAAGTATGGGGTGATAGGAGGGTACTAGGTGTCTGTTGCCCTCCTGTCGCGCCATACTCTCTACTAGCAATCTGCTGCTCACCTATGTCCACATACTCTACTAGCTGTCTGCTACCCTCCTATCTCCCCATACTCCACCAGCTGTTTGCTATCCTCCTGTCGCCTCATACT